AACATTACCAAACAGGTATTACTATCTGTAAGATTGTTTCTATATCTAAGGCAGTTTGAGCTATTTTTTAAATAGATGTAATATTTTGTAAAGGATAATAAGAAAATGTGTATGTAACTTGAAATTAATGTCAGATATATCGTACATATCGTGATAATTAGAAAAATTTCTTTTGGTATTTTTTTAATAGCAAATCACCTTGTATATGATACAAAATACTTCAATTTATCAAATTATTCTGAAATGTAAAAGAACTTGAATTCCAGTAATTGAATGGACCTTCTAAAATATCAATACGGCTGATATTTTATTTGCATGTATGAATGTCAATGCTTTTGACACAAGTTTTACATTCAACAGAACAACACCATTGAAATTTGCACTCGCATCTCTCTCGGATAGTCGATTTTTGCGTGTTATAACCCCTGCCGCAACAAAGGAGATTACAGCCATCCATACCAGATGATGTTCTGTTACAAATTCTGCCATGTGTACCTAGAAAAAATATTTTTCATTTTAATTGTTATACAATATACTAGTGAAGCTAAGCATGTGTGAAAATAGGTTTCTTATTTTTTACAACTATAATGATTTTATGAAAAAAAAACTGTTTCTTTTCAGTAACTTTCCATTAAATGCATTCAAATCAATAAATACATATTTTAAGGTTGCAATATTTTAATTCGTTAGATTAAAATTATATTTTCTTGATAGTAATACATTTCTTCTGTTTCGTAACAAAATCAGTACTTCAGAACTTTCACACATAATTTCCAACTTTTTGATTTCTTTTAAGTTGAGTACACATTGCTGAAGAAATCACCTAGTGATCCATATGTTTCATTAGGAAGGCAATAATTTGGCGAATCATCCAAATAAACCAGATCATTTGCCGTAGGTAATGAAAATCTTGGATCTCTCATGGACAGACGGCCGCGTCTGTTTACTCGGACTTCTGTTGCTCCATCATATTTATCTAACAGAAAATCACCTGTAGACATCGAATACAATCATTTAATTAGTACCTCAAGCGCATTAGAAACATATAAGAGAATTGAAATTAGTAATGTTATCTTGGACTGATCAAAGCATTCCATACGATAAGACTGATCCTTTGCGCATTCATTACAATACTCACAAAATATTCGAGCAAATATTATAATAAATACTTTATAATAAATAAAGTATTTACAGATAAGGTAACGAAAACGTGATTAAAAGTCTTATATTAAAACAGGAAACAACAAAATTCAAATTTGGATCTGGATGGTTTCAGAGTTCGCCATTTTGGTTATACAAACTTTTTGCTATTTCACTATTAAACTGTACAAGTATCGTGTAAAATACGTATCATTTTAGTAAAATTATTATTGTATTAATTATGTTGATTTTTTAAAAAGGATATTAAAATAAGGAAGGGAGCAAAGATTATATTAGATCCGTTTAATTTAATAATTTCAAGATCATCAGGGTACAAAAATGATTAAATACAATTTAACCGACATTTTCGTAGCATAAAGAATCAAGGATTATCCGTATTGCTGCAAATGTTGCAAAGACAAGAAATGTAATTCGAGAAAATTACAGTATATCATGAAGAAAAAGTATACCAATTTCTCGAAACGATGCTAATTGTTGCCAGCAAGTGATCAAGCTGCAGCTTCCTGAAACCCCATGGCACTTGCATGTCACCTTGGATTTTTTAATTACCGCCTGTAAAAAATATTTATATTTTTCAAGTTCGCGCAACTGGTATACTCTTATCGTAATAGAAATTTAAATGCGTTTCATCTGTACATGCATCCAATATTTAGCAAATTTGTTTGACAAAATTCGTTTTACCCTGCGTCCCGCCTCATTATTGTGAAGATTCATCAGACTTCTGCCTTGCTCTCTGCTGCCTCTTTTAAAGCTGCGCTCGCGCTCCCTTACATCAACAAATGCCTGTGTGAATCTGAAACGATTAAACAGCAACTTGTTGATCGTACAATGTTGATACAAAGGTAATGGTTAAAAAACAGTGGTAATCGTTCACGACAAAATAGAAAACATTAGAAAAATGTAGGTTTTCATATTATTTTCCAAGTATAAAATTCATTAAAAGAGAATACGTGTTCATTTAATTTCTGTGTCTTACAATGGACTTACAATTAGACAATTTCTATTTTGCACGGTGGTCCAATCTAACTACTTGATAAACAACAACGAATCGTTGCAAATAATGGAGAATATTTATTTTATCGACAAATCAAATTTACATATCAAACCGAAAATTGCTTATGATTCGACCAAATATTATTCGAAGATCGATGATGCTTTCTTCGTTTTCTTAATAATGAAGATTTGACGCTAGTCTAAACATTCGAAATATGAAATAAGAGCGTTTTCAGCGATTGCAGGCAAATGTAAAACGCAAAATAAGTATCGTCGAAATGATTTAAGGATGGACTAATACTCACTTGTAACCGTACTCAAGATTGTCTCCGCATCCACCCCAAATCCAATCGTGTTTCAAATCTCGGGGCCTATTGCTTCTGGAACAACCACAAGAGGATAACTGACCGTCTCTGCAGGATCGACTAATTGAGTAAACCACTCCTGCAGCCGTGATTGCATGAACGAATGCGGTTTCTCTGCTAGCTACGAACAGAAAAAAATACTTTATACGATATAATTGAAAAGACAATTTGGGATCATTGTGATCACAAAAGATCGTTTTATGCATGGTAATAACTAGACTGCGGATTATTATTGCATTTGCGGTAGCATCGTTATTGTCGTTTTACGATAAGGAATTTTTTAGCTCACGCAGGAAATTTTGTGTTATTTCTAATTTTTGTAAAAATTATATTATTTTATTATATTATATTATTTATATATATTTATATATATTACTTATTTTATATTATATTATTATATTATTTATATTATATTACATAAACGAACTTGCGAATTTGCATAAAGATGAGCAATCTAGTAATAACTAACAGCTTATTTTAAGAAATTGGAAAACTCTAGGCAGTAGAACGAATTGCATATTTGAAAAAACGTTATCAACCATAGTTTAGATTCGTATTGTTCCGTAAAAGACAATATAAAATTTGAGAACATTAGAGAGCATGATACGTATCTGTTTCTAAAAATATTGTAGTATAATCAAAAGTTTCTACGTATTACTTTGTTGAATAATTGTACGATGAACGGTGAATATTATATTTTATATTATAAATTTATATTATATTATTATTATATTATATTATATTTTTCTTTCCTTATTACTAGACTGCGGATCTTTGTGCAAAATAAACATGTTCCTGGTTAATTGTATCAAACTGGAACGAAACAGAAGTTTCTTCCTTTCCATAATAATTTTAACGAGTTCGAATTAATGTACACAAGTAAGTGTAGATGCAGCAGAACCTTGATAATCTTCGGACTTCTAATGCCTGATTTATTTATTATTGATTATAGCTAGCGAGTTTAGTCTTTTCGGAACCTAAATTTTCCACTTGTGAGAACTGCACACTTCGATATTAAAGCGTCAGTTTTAGTGGATGTAAACCTCTAAAACTAATATACGTATATGGCTTTTCTTCTATGTGTGGGATGTCATAGTGTGCGGCGAGCCGGGCTCTTAAAACTAAAAAAATGCATCTGAGCGTCAATTAGGGAGAATTTACTGTAATCGTTCCATTATCCGATCATTCATCTCTCCCCGACTGATCCGAATTATCTCGAAGTTCTGCTGTTTCCTTAAATTCTTTTGATCCTACTACCGTTTTAATTCTCGCCTACTTGTTTTTTCTCATAAATGTATAAATTCGCAGTCCACTTGTTACTCAAGCAAAAGAATTTCTGAAAGATTCTTACCAATTCTTAGTATTGGTCCGAAGACAGTTTCATCGTGAACAGTGGAGCAATTCCATCTCCGATCGTGAAATTGGTGTTGGCACTCAAGAATCCCAATTTTCGCACCATTAGCTACACTTAACATGTGATCCACGGACAGCTGACATAGTTTTCCTTGGCCTTGAGAGAGACCCCTCAGCCCGTGGCAAATAGTGGATGCTGCTACGTCGTAAGTCTCGATCATTTGGGCAGTCTCCAGTTGAGGGAAATGTTGTAACCCGACGTTTCTGATGACAGCAAATAACACGTCATAGTATTAAAAATATTTCAAGATAATTCACAATAATTGCATCATGGTGTTGTCAGATATTAACAACACAAACTCGAACTGTCGATAAATTAAAGGAGGTGGTTTTAACTAACTCAGAAATTTCTGTAAAATCTTCGCTTAGACTTCGTAGCATTTTCAGAGTTATTGTTAATAAAATGTAATAAAATTATATAATATAAAAATAATACAATAATAAAATAATAATAAAATATAATATAATTATTATTATTACTAGAGTCTCGACTACGTCGCATTGCTAGTTTGAATTGTTGAAGCTGTTTTTTTTGACATGATTAAAAAGAAATTATTGGACCGATCAACTTCAATTTCATCTTAAGGAAGATTGACCTGGAGTCAATAACTAGATACTACAATCTGCTCGAGAAAATATTATTGGATATTGTCTAGTAAATTAGTCCTTTTGTTCGTTTTAAAATTGTTAGTACTATAGAAACACTTTCGTCGAAAATAATTGAATTATTATTTAAGTCGACCGTACAGTTTCGTTATTCTTGTGAAGGTTTAACGTTGGCACTAAAAGTAAGTAACGCGTGTTGCTTTACAAGAATAACGAGACTGAATTTATATAGACATTCCGCCATTTGTATATTTGAATTAAGATATTTATTCAATTATTTCCCATGAAAGTGTTTTTATATATAGTGGAATTTTAAGGGGGGGGGGGGGGATGTGTGACGTGTCGTTTTCACTAAAACGGTAGATTTAGAAACTGTTCGCCCAATCGTGGTGCATGTTGGAAATGTATCAAAATCGAAACCCCAGAGAACAAAACCTTCCTTTCCATTGTTTCCCACGCGCCGTGCTCACGAGCTCCCTGCACAGAAGCCGGTAGAACACGTACCGTGCGTCTGATTGGCAATATTAGAGCATTCGAGTGTACCCGTATCGCCACTGAAACGTTTACGGGCAGCCGTTTCGAATTTGAGATTGCTACCCCAGTTCGAGACCCCCGACTTCTGTCTGTGACGGCGTCGTTCCATCATCTCACACGGTTGACTCCCAAATGTGCCATTAAAAATTGCCGCGGAGAGCCGTTCGTCGCCGTCCACCGGTTTCCCGCTCTGAATTCGTGAATCGGCGTAACGAATTTCGCGAAATCGGATTGCGTTTTCGAAAACGAGGGATGCAGCGTGTTCAATGAGCTGATCAGACATCGTTTCTGGGCGAAATCTCTATATACTATTGGGTTGGCAACTAAGTAATTGCCGATTTGTTCAATGAAATAAAACATTTCCTTTTACTTGGAACGAAGTTTGATCTGTAATGTATTTTCCATTTTGTTCGATGACCTTTTGCCGTCTCTCTGACAACTTGAAAATTCCACGCTCGTAGAAAGTCTGATCCTTTTCGGCCAAAAACTGAGTTAAGTGAGATTTTACAGCGTCATCGTCGTTAAAAGTTTTACCACGAAGGGAGTTGTCCAGGGATCGAAATAAGTGGTAATCCGATGGTGCGAGATCAGGGCTATATGAAAAACGTAGTTATAATATCGCGCAAAATTTTTGGATTTACAATTTTGCTCTTTAATCAGTAGTTACTTATCTGAGCCTTTAATACGCGGCTATTGTTTCGAATAAAATCTTATCCGAATAAAGCTTCGAATAAATATATAAAATAAATAATATATATAATAATATATATAATAATATAATGATTAAATAAAAAATAATAATAAAATATATGAGATAATATTATATAATATAAATAATATTTCGAATAAATTTTACAAATAAAATTATATTCATTATTCGAATAAAATATGCCCAACTCCGTGGTCGGCTAAAGAATTCGTCGATTATGCAGAGAACATGGGTTTCGATAGACTGAAATAATCTCCGCAGTTCGAAGGGTTAAAATTAGTTTTCGTCATCAGGACTAAGATGACCCAAGGTATATAAGATTATACCAGGGAGTGCGTAATAGAGAGCATTAATATTCCGGAACACGTTTCGACCGTGATATATCATCGACTTTGCACTCCCCTAAAACAATGACGCTGGGAATCACAGGAAGAGAACGATAATATTTCGAAGGATCCTGCCCACGCAAATTCGTGGGACACTGTGGGCTGTGCCGTCCCAAAAAGTAATGTCTCGTGTCTCTTAAAAGATTGTAGCAACAATCGTACGGCTTCATCTACCGGGTGTTCGAAATTCAATTTTCCACTGGCAATCAATCACCCGCAAAAAGGACAGGCCCTGCATTTAGGGTTAATTCACGCCAGGCTATCATCGTTAAGTCCATTTCGCTGTCCTACCATACCTTGTAACTTTTGTCCTTTTATTCAGATCTTGCTGAAAGTTGTTTCATATGTTTCACGATGCTCACGGACGGGTTCGCGATAGTGGAATAATTATTTTTTAAATTTCATGATATGAAGAAGTTTAATGTAACGTGTGTTACACAATAAACAGTTTAGTGGAATATGTGTGTTAAGTAACAATACTTCACTCATATGAAGAGGTTTAATATAATTGTATGTATATTACACTGGAATACCTCAGTTACGTGAGCAAATCCATTACTATACGTATATGTATATTACACAGTATTTCATTTACATCAAGAAGTTTAATACATGTTTATTGATACAATATATTTTATAGAGGAATACAATAAATATAATATAATATGGTACTTTCGTGTTACACCAAATGTGAGGAATAGGCGGTATAGTTTCAATTGATT